ATGCCTTTGCGGCCTCTGACCCACCGCCGATCTCACTTAGCTCCCTGGTTTTCCGAGGAGCTGAGGGAGATGAAGCGCCGAAAAAGACGCCTGGAGAGCAATTGGAGGGCTAGCCTTTCTGAATCCGATCAAACACTGGTGAGGTCTCATATTAAGACCTACCTAGTGGTGATAAAAACGGCAAAATTTAATTATTTTTCCGCTCTTATCGCATCTGCAGATAACCGCCTGGCCGCCCTGTTTAGGGTGACCCGCTCCCTGCTCCATCTGGGAGCGCGGGAAGACCCCTTGGAGGGTAGGGCTGAGGATTTTGTGCAGTATCTGCATGACAAAATCGCTCAAATTCGGGAAGGCTTGGATTCTGACTGGGTAGATGCAAGTGGGGTGATGGAGGCAGGTCTTGAGAGTGTTATCTGGGAGGAGTTTGACCCGGTGACCCCCGAAGACGTGGACAGGATTCTGGGTAGATTCAGCGCGGCCACATGTTTATTCGACCCGTGTCCCTGGTTGGTGCTGGCTTCCTGGGAGGTTACACGAGGCTGGCTCCAGAGGATTATCAACGCTTCTTTGAGAGAGGGTTGCTTTCCCGCCGCCTTGAAAGAGGCAGTGGTGAGGCCCCTCCTCAAGAAGCCCTCCCTGGACCCGGCTGTTTTAGCAAATTATCGTCCAGTCTCCAACCTCCGCTTTATGGTGAAGGTTGTTGAGAGTGTGGTGGCGCGACAGTTCCCCCAGTACTTGGATGAAGCAGTCTATCTTGATCTGTTCCAGTTGGGTTTCAGACCTAGGTACAGCACGGAAATGGCAGTGGTCGCATTGGTTGATGATCTCTGAAGGGCTCGGGACAGGGGTTGTTCCTCGGTCCTGGTGCTATTAGATCTCTCAGCGGCTTTTGATACCATCAACCATGATATCATGCTGCACCGGTTGGAGGGTTTAGGGGTGGGGGGTGTCACTGCGTTGAGTGTTTCACGCTTCGTGAATTCACTGCTGATTCATGCTTCGACAGAGGGCACCGTGTTGCGGTGGTTCTCCTCATTTCTCTCTGACAGATTGCAGTTTGTGTTGACGGGGCCAGAGGTCGACCTCGAGGCGCCTTGTGTGTGGGATGCCGCAAGGGTCGGTCCTCTCGCCCCTTCTGTTCAACATTTATGTGAAGCCGCTGGGTGAGATCATCCATGGTTTCTGGGTGAAGTTCCATCAGTATGCTGATGACACTCAGCTGTACATTTCCACCCCGGACCACCCCAATGATGCCCTTGACGTGATGTCCCAGTGTCTGGAGGCCGTGCGGATCTGGAGGGGAGAAACAGGCTCAAGCTCAACCCTTCCAAGACCGAGTGGCTGTGGCTCCCGGCGTCCCGATATAGTCAGGTGGTGCCATCTTTGACTATTGGGGGCGAGTTGTTGGCCCCCACGGAGAGGGCTCGCAACTTGGGTGTCCTCCTGGATGCATGGCTGTCCTTAGAAGAACATGTGATGGCCGTGGCCAGGGGGGCTTTCTATCAGGTTCGCCTGATTTGCCAGTTGCGTCCCTTTCTGGATCGGGACTCCTTGCGCATGGTCACTCATGCCCTCGTCACTTCCCACCTGGACTACTGTAATGCTCTCTACATGGGGCTCCCCTTGAAGAGTACCCGGAGGCTCCAACTGGTCCAGAATGCGGCCGCGCAGGTGATTGTGGGAGCGTCATGGCGCTCCCATGTAACACCTCTCCTGCGTGAGCTGCACTGGCTTCCGGTGGTCCTCCGGGTGCGATTCAAGGTGTTGGTGACCACCTTTAGAGCGCTCCATGGCTTAGGACCTGGGTACCCAAGAGACCGCCTTCTGCCACCGAGAGCCTCCCACCGGCCAGTACGCTTCCACAGGGGCTCCTCAGGGTGCCATTGGTCAAACAATGTCGACTGGCAGCCCCCAGGGGGAGAGCTTTCTCTGTGGGAGCACCTGCCCTCTGGAACGAGCTCCCCATGGAGATACAGAGGATTCTGGATCCCACAGGAGCTCCTCAGGGTGCCGTCGGTCAAACAATGTTGACTGGCAGCCCCCAGGGGGAGAGCTTTCTCTGTGGGAGCACCTGCCCTCTGGAACGACCTCCCCACGGAGATACAGAGGATTCCGGATCCCACAGGGGCTCCTCAGGGTGCCGTCGGTCAAACAATGTCGACTGGCAGCCCCCAGGGGGAGAGCTTTCTCTGTGGGAGCACCTGCCCTCTGGAACGAGCTCCCCCCGGAGATACGGAAGATTCCGGATTTACGTACTTTCCGCCCGGCCCTCAAGACTTTTTTATTTCAACAAGCCGGGCTGGCCTAACTTCTCCAATTGCTTAATTTTAATTTTAATTTTAAAAGGGGTATTTTAATTGTTGGGCCAAAATTGTTTAATATGTTTTTTAAATTGTTCTTAAATTTTTGTATTCTGTGTGTTTACCTTTGGCTATTCACCGCCCTGGGTCCTTCGGGAGAAGGGCGGTATATAAATATAAATAAATAAATAAATAAATACAGGTAGTCCTCAACGTACGACCACATTTGAGCCCAAAATTTATGTTGCTAAATGAGAAATTTGTTAAGTGAGTTCTGCCCCATTTTACGACTTTTCTTGCCACATTTGTTAAGTGAATCACTGCAGTTATTACATTAGTAACACGGTTGTTAAATGAATCTGGTTTCTCCATTGACTTTGCTTGTCAGAAAGTTGCAAAAGGGGATCATATGACCATGGGACACTGCAATCATCATAGATATGAGTCAGTTGTCGAGCATCCGAATGAAAATCACGTGACCTTGAGGATGGCTGCAGCAGTCATAACTGTGAAAAATGGACATAAGTCACTTTTTTCAATGCCGTTGTAACTTCGAACGGTCACTAAATGAACTGTTGTAAGTCGAGGACTACCTGTAAAGTAGCCGCTAGGGTGACTATAGGTCTCTGTTCTAAGAAGAGCTGACCAAAGAAATGGAAATGAAAGCTACATCAGAAGTAAGAACGCAGAAAGTCATTGCACTGGTTTGAACGGTTCTTGTATAACATTGCAAAGGCTGAGATCACCCACTGCTCCAAACCATACACATTGGCATCCTTCAGTCTCAAAAGACTATGGTATCGTGCTCTGGAAAGAGGTCCTAAAACAGCATCTAGTGTAACTAAAAAGGCCAATTCGAGAGTGGCAATCCCTTCCACACCGAGGGCAGTGTGTTATCCAAACCATAAACCATGGATTATTAGACATGAGTGGGTCTGCACAATACCCATTGAAAAAGGTCTGGCTTATTTTAAGAGAATTGTGTTAGCTTGTAGTAACCAAAAACCAGGAGAACTCTTTTCAGACTAACCCAGGGGTGGGATTCTACTGGTTCGGGCGAATTGGTAGCTCCGACAATCAGCTGCCCGCCCGCACTATTTTCCTACCTTTATTTTCTCAGCTGATCCATGCAGCAGAGCAGATTGCCGCTCCTCAGCTGTGTTTCTCCTCCGAAGAAACACGGAAGTAAAGATTCCTTCAAACTGCACAAGCGTGCGTGCACAAAGTGTGTGATTGCCGAACCAGGATCCCACCACTGGACTAACCCATCTTATTCAAAGGCTTTTGTGGACTACAGTTCACTTTTTCAGAGGGTCTAAATTGATGCAGGATTTAAATTGGAGGGCAGCTGAGGGTGGGGGGAGAAACAGGATGGTTAGGCAGATACAAATTATACGTGAGACAAATTACAGAAAACCCAAAGGTGCTTTTTCAAGAGGCAACTGGACTTCCTTGTTTCTCTTTGAAGAAAAATCCAGTTGCCTCTTGAAAAAGCCCCTTTGGGACAACTATGACCTGGATGACTGAGAATCTCCATAGACAAATTACAGAAAACTGCTTTTTTTTTTTTTAATCCATTGGGCGGGTTGAGGCTTTCTGAGATGACCTAAAACCTTTTGATGCATGCGAATTCAGCAGCTGCTCAATCCAATTGTGCTGGCAAAATCAGCTACTTCGAGATCTGTAATGGAGTAGCCTGGGAAGTTAAAATAGTCTTAATACTGTTTTGTTAGTGTACTGAGGTCCTGGCATCAAACTTACACCCATTAATTCTTTTGGCTTAGCACAACATGTGCAGGCCCAAGTCAATGAACCTGCATTTACAAAGTCTTTTTAATAGAATCCATTCAATGATTGTAAGAGGTTTTCTTCATATCTACCTCAGTCTCCACTTTTATTCAGCCACGTATGCAAGGCCTTGAAGTCACCCATTTAAGATTTGGTTGTAATAGCTGGTGAATATGTTGCCCCTCTACTAGTTTTTTTATATATATTTATATTTGTATTAACCTCTGAGCCACAAGTTCTCTTCCCTTTATCAGCTGAGTCAGCTGATATATATAAAGTTTATTGTCATTGTACGTATATACACAGTACACCCATACGAAATTCACATAACACCCAGAGACCAAGCCCAACACACATGACAATCCCCAGACACACCCCCACCCTTCAAAATCACTACCAAGAGAGCCTTGGTAGTACAGTGGTCTAAAGCACCCTGTTATTAAGACCAGCTGCCTGCAATTACTGCAGGTTCAAATCTCGCCAGGCTCAAGGTTGACTCAGCCGTCCATCCTTTCTAAGGTAGGTAAATTGAGGACCCAGTTGTGGGGGCAATAAGCTGACTTAGCATAAATATACAAAAGGATGAAGGCTATTGCTTAGCACATTGTAAGCCGCCCTGAGTCTCCGGAGAAGGGCGGCATATAAATCAAATTAAAAAAAAAAAAATCCCCCACCCCTAAACCACCCAAACATCCACACAACAGACCAAGTAATGCTGTCCAACAGCTCACTGATGGTGGCCCTTTAGTTTATTGTTGAGTGCAATTATAGCGCTGGGATAAAAACTATTCAGAAGACGTGTGGTCTTGAGTTTTAATTGTTCTGTATCTTCTGCCAGAAGGCAACAGTGCGAATGCAGTGCAAAGCTCAATTGACAGGAAATATACCGTGTTCCTGATCTTCTCTTCACAGTTGCCACCCCCTTATGAACAGGCCTTGAGGTATCCTGCCGCCTTGTCAAGAACCGGAGCCGGCTCAGAGTTGTCAACTAGGCAGAGCCTGCCAGATATGCTGCAAGCTTCTCCCACTTACCAAGCTCAGAGGAACACTTCTGTGTAGGCTGGGAATGAGTCCTCCACACTCCATGGCACAGACTGGGCAACGCTTTCGTTTCTGCAGGGCAATTAGCCAAAGGATGCTGAGGAAGTGGAATGAAACTCTCCGGCATTGTTGCAAAGCAAGCCATGTTCTTTCCCCCCACCCCCCACTTACAACAATTACAACTGTCTTGAACTAATCCTTAAAGACAAAAATTTACTCATCCTGATGGAACAAATTGCCCTAGGGAAGTTCTGATCAGCTTCTCTTTTTTATACATCAGACCCCAAATAAACTTCCACCAAGAACAGCCTAGAATCTTGATTGGCTACGTTGTGTGGACTTCAAATCCCAGAATTCCCCAGCCGGGTGAACGTTGCCATACTCTGGCCTAGAGACTATTTTCAAGATATCTCCAGACGATCATCTTGCTGCAGGAGTAAGTCAAGCAGACACACCATTGGAATTTTAGTTTGATCCCCCAGGAGCTAAACATCAAAGCCATTGAACTTTCCCTGATTGTTGTTTTAAAGAGATAAAGGCTTCTGGTTCAAAGACCACCCTCAGAGAATGTACAGCAGCTCTTCCACCTTTAAAAAAATACCTCTGTTAGAGCTGCCAAACTTTCAAGATATTTACCCAAACGTTTTATTGTCTGTTAGCCATCATAGAACTATATCCACAGGACACCATTCGGAGCTTCAAGTGACACAATGAATGTATTTTACCCTCTGGCTATTTTCATTAATCTATACCAGTGGATGAACTCTTTGGACAAATTCTGGTGGGGTTTTTCTCCTTTTGAAGACAGAGTGGGAGCCCTTTTGCAGATCTGGACAAGTTCAGAGATTAAGTAGAAGACAAGTCTGGCACTTTCGTCTCATGTTTCCCCATTTGAAATACAAACAGCCTGTTTTGCAGCCAAGCCATAACTGATAAAAAGAGTTACCTGTCAAAATGTAGAAATCTCCTCGGAAGGGAAGATTTTGCTATTTTCATGTATACCAGAATTGTTTATTCTGCTTGTCAGCTGGAGCTCAGACAATCTTGATAAGCTTAAATCTAATTTGCTGTTTGGAGGGGAGGGGGGCAGTGGCAGGTTTTTGTTTGTTTGTGTTTGACTAATAATCACTCCTAATGTTCCTAATGCTATCATTGAAAATTAATCTAATTGGGAAATGCTTGGGATCGCTTCTACAGTCTAACATGTAAGTTACCAGAATGAGGTTACTGATTTACCCTTTCCTGTCTGTGAGATTGAAAAGAACGAATGTGAGTTTAGGTATATTTGTGTTCAGGCTTTATTTTAAGGACAGTTAATGTAACACTCGATATGGCTAACATAAAGAGATAGCTGTAGTAAATTTATGTTTCTTTGCTCCTATCCCATCCCCCACCCTTAACACCTTGTACTACTGTATTTCATGTTTAAAGGCAAGCAGGCTTTCCTTTAATTTAACAGTTAGGTTCATACATTGCATGAAACCTCTGTTTTACCCATGGTTTGTTGAACAGGCCATGACCCAGTCAGCCAAAACCAAAGAAATCACACTGCGGCTTAGCATGCTGTATTTATACAGCTAATTACTGTCTTGAGTTCCACAGCCTGTTGAATGATTTACTTGAACTTTAGTTAGAACTATGGCTACGTATCTGCAGATAAAAAACAGAAGGAAATGACGGTGATTAGGGAGTGCACTGTTGCTAGCACCAATGGGCCTCCAGTTTGCTGGTTTCACGCATTGCATTAAGCTATAAAAAGAGTTTCAACTCAGATTGCAATAGGGAAGCCAGCCACCGTGACCTATTGAATAATCACATTTTGGCTTGGTGGGATATATGAAGTCAAGTCAGATTCATTTTTACATCAGATCTTAAAAGAGAAGCAAATCTGCTAAGACAACTCACCTCATCTGGGGTTAGCCGTGGTATTCATTGACTGAGTTCCCAGAATACCCAAAATCAAAATGCGGCTTGTTTTGCTTTGGGATTAGTGGGGATATATGAATCTGGTTATGCATTTGTCAATGAAACATGAAAAAATACATGCCTGTAATGCACATGAAAGCTAGCACGATTGCATTTCATATTCTAACGGTGTACAGTACAAGGTGATTAGACAGATTATTTTCCCAGTGAAGACAAGCCCTAAATTTACAATGTATTTTTTTCAAAAAAAAAAAAAAAAAAAAAAGCAGGCAGCCAATAAAGTATGAGACTGGCTGAATAATGTATGTGATTTAGAAAGGAACAGGCACTCTTGCACTCTTCAGATGGTTAAATTCTTAACTTCTTAGGTCCCAGGAAATGTAGCTAATAGAATAGAATAGAATAACAGAGTTGGAAGGGACCTTAGAAGTCTTCTAGTCCAACCCCCTGCTTAGGCTGGAAACCCTACAACACTTCAGAGAAATGGTTATCTAATCTCTTCTTAAAAACTTCCAGCATTGGAGCATTTACAACTTCGGGAGGCAAGTTGTTCCACTGATTGTTCTGTCAGGAAATTACTCCTTCATTTTAGGTTGCTTCTCTCCTTGATTAGTTTCCACCCATTGCTTCTTGTTTTACCCTCATGTTCTTTGGAGAATAGTTTGACTCCCTCTTCTTTATAGCAACCCCTGTGATATCGGAACACTGCTATCATGTCTCCCCTAGTCCTTCTTTTCATAAGCCTAGAACAGGAGTCTGCAACCTTAAACTCTCAAAGAGCCATTTGGATCAGTTTCCCACAGAAAAGAAAACAATGGGAGCCACAAAACCCTTCCCGTGCCTGACTATTTTTTGAGCGGCCACAAAACTAGCATATGTAGTTGAATTAAACGTTCTGTTCTCTTCTGAAACTTTTGTTTTCTTGGATTTATCCATGGTTGGCCTACCGGGGGTTGAAAAGCTCGATAAATTGTGTGCCGGAGGGTGTGGCACGTTGGCAGTTGTGACACCTATTTTGAGTGACAGGGAGCCACAGCAGAGGGGTGAAAGAACCACATGTGGCTCCAGAGCTGCAGGTTGCTGACCCCTGGCCTAGACATATCCAGTTCCAGCAATTGTTCTTTATATGTTTTATCCTTGAGTCCCCTAATCATCTTTGTTGCTCTTCTCTGCACTCTTTTATTTGGTCTTATTTCTTTTAAATAATTTAAATCCTTCTAGCTGTATGTTCCATTTGTGGGTTTCATCCCACCAAGTTTCCGTAATATCCGTAATATTGTTGTTTCCGGCAACAATATCATATTTGCCCTCATTTACTTGAATTTCTAATTCACCGTTTATTCCTCCTACTCTGCGCATTGGTGTATAGACATTTGAGTCCATTTTGACTGACCCTGTGTTTATTTTCTACATAACCTATGTTGTCCCCTACTGCCTTACCAGTAATGCAATGGTCAAGGAAGGTTGTCACCTGTGCACTAGAACTATATGTGGCTACCTGAAGGCACAGGCATTTAAGTTTTCAGGTTCCATGGGTGAAAGCAGGCCGAAACATAGACCTTGCCATGGAATTGCATCCCATCCCATCTATAATCTTGACTGCCTATTTTATGCTGCATCCCAGGTCACCTGCTTTTTCCTTCTTCAGTTGGTCACAGTGACAAAGACTGGAATTGCAATGTTGTATATTAAGGACGTGATTTTTTTTTTTAATAGCAGCAAGACCAGTCACCACTGTAAAATAATTTCAAAGTAATGAGTATTAACAGATAAATTATCTAGAGACAAAACCATAAAAGTCCCAGGTACCATACACAGGTACCATAAAAGTCAAATTTATAATTAGTCTAAAGTAATCAAGTTGTCTTGCTTCCTCCTTTTGTTGCAATAAAGTTTGAATTATGTATTGTTATAAAGGTATCCCAAATAGTCATATGCTATATAACTGGGACTGAAACCATCCTTGGTTCTAAGGAATAACTACAGTTCACATGTAATGCCATAATCTATGGTTTTCAAACCACCACACCATGCACTAAGCCAGGGTTGTCAAACTCGATTTCATTGAGGGCCGCATCAGGGTTGTGTTTGACCTTGGGAGGCTTGGGTGGGTGTGGCCAGCTCGACATCACTCGTATTGGGGGAATCTGGTGGCACAAGCGCTCTGTCAGCAAAAATGGGCTTCTGAGCTCCATTTCAGCTGCGATGGCCTCCTGCAACCCTCTGCCAGCGAAACCGGAGCTCAAGAAGGCCACACACAGCCCTCCCGAGCTCCACTTTCATTGGCAGAGGCACTGTGGGCCGCTCTTCCACTGTTTCGAGGGCAGCCCCGTGGACCAAATCTGGCCCCCGGGCCTTCGAGTTTGACACCCCTGCACTAAGCCAAACGAACACCAAAGAAATTACATTTTTTCTAAACGCTGTGTAAACTGATCAGTGCTTGACACATTGGATAAGGAATAAGCTGGGATGGGATAGGAACTTCCTGCTAGACTGCATCTATAGCAGCTGCACATCTGTTTGGTACATAGTGGGCAACACTGCAAAAGTTTATTGTGTGCATACATTGGTATAATGTACAAATCATGACATTACAACGTGTACATTCTGTACCCAGATTGTGATGTGCTGAAGTTGGGAAGAAATAATTTCATATGTCTGCAGGGAGACATAATTACTGGTGTATGAAATCTGCTGAGAATACTCAATCTTAAATTGGAAACCTACCTCTAGCATCTGCTTTTACCCCAAGAATAAAGAATTATCTTGAGATGGTTCCTCCGAAATCAGCAGTAGTACTGCTGTTGTGTTTTGGAAAAGAAATACTATCAATCTTTATTTCAGCAGCAGCACATCAGAGGTGTGCGTTAAGGGCATGTCTCTTTATGATATGCTGTAGATGCTCCAAATATTGCTTCGTTCCCAGCTGCAGAGGACTAACCAAAAGTCATTCAGAACTAGCTCTCAGATCATGGTGATCAACTTAAAACTTCCCACTTTTTCAGTAGGAACAACGTTGATGAAAGTTTTATACAGCACAGCTCCTTTGGGCAACTGGCAGATCACTTCTCGGCTTTCCTTGCCACGGGCAGGCGGTACGTAGATTTCTTTCGTGAACCTCACAATTCCATCTTCAAGAGCATACAACCACTTGTTGTATCCCATCCCCACCTGGGTCAATGAGACAGAATCATAATTAAAGAACGGAAGAAGCAGCCCTTGGAGCAGAGCGCAGGCCGTGCCTATCACTGGGACTGCCAGCAGTTCTCAAACTGGTACAGTTTGCCAATTGTCTGCTAAACTAAAGCACAACTGCTTGTGCAAGAAAGACATCACTATCACCAGAATGATACAGCATAATGCAACGATGTCAAAGTGAGACTGCAGGATTCCAGTTACTTGCAGTTACTTGCAAATGAAATTCAGAATCCCTGCTCTGGTAGGGTTTATATTTGTAACCCGGGATGACTGGCTTTATGGGATGTAGCAAGTAATTTGGTTTCTTTGCAAGCCAATTACATTTGCTCCTTGTGTCTTCAGCTTTTGTTGACACCTGCTCCTGATGGTGTTTTGGAATTCTAATACCGTCATAGCTGAACCCATTCAGCCTGAATCTGGTTCCACGCCAGCTGAATAAGATGAATGTCAGCTTGTAAGCCAAGAATGTTGAGTGACAGCTGATTTCTTCACACCCAAAAGTGGCTGAAGATAATTTTGGTCTTAAAGATGGTATCTCCAACAAGCCCAATTTTATATGATATTCTACCCAGCTACTTCTGGACAGAATAAGCAAGCATTTCTCTTTAGAAGGCACCGTTTACAAAAATATATGCAAGTTGTGCTATGGGTCAATGTAAACAAATGCCTAATTATTTTCCTTTTTCACAACTTGATTTTCCCCCCTCTGATGATCAAAGCCATCCAATGCACCATGATGCATTTTCTTCTGTTCTTTTTTCTTTACCTCAGGGTATTCTATGGGGGGAAGGGGGGTTGTCCCATCTATGAGGATAGGTTTCCAGCATATCTGACATATTCTTTTATTTCATACTGCAACTACATTGGCTCTGAATTTTTACTAAATATAGAGAGGTGGTTCAAAGTCTGTGAAACACTAATCAGGGTGAGAGAGAGGTTCCAGTTTCTGGTTATTAATGTTAGCACTTTTATAGCAAGAGAGATCAAAAAAAAGAATTTTATTCTGGTCTCAGCAGAGAGAAAGAATCTTTAAAAATGATAAAAATGAGGCCAAGAGGTTTGACAGACCATAATGAAAAATGTTTAATTCCAGGATAATTTAGAGCAAGACAAGGAAACAGATGCTTTGATAAAAATGGAATGAAGTCTTAATTAAGTGGTATTTGAAATAACAAAGAGAACATCTTACGTGAGCTCCCGGATGCCACCGAATCACACGCTGGGTGGCCAATATGTTGCCTGCGTGAACAAATTGTCCTGCAAATGAGTTAAAGAAAGTAATTAAACCGCAGAAACAAGACAGCTTGAATGCATTTTAGCTGAATACAAATGGACAAAATACAACAGAGCAACTTTCTTTAACATTCCTTCTCACGAAATAGGACCCGTTGCAGAAGAGGTCAAAGGTGAAAGAACTGAGACGCAAGCCTTGAGAGTCATACCCCTAATTTTACTTAGTCTGATTAGCTGCAGCTTTCTAGCACACATATCCAAAGTATTTACTTGACAGATTATCGGAATAGCTTCAATTCATACATTAATTCACCAAATTACATTTCATGTAGTGTAGACTGCCATCTTGAGATTACCAAGAGGAAAAGAAGGAAAACTTCCATTTCAATAATCCTGAATCCACATTCAAGTATAGATAGTCCTTGACTTTCTATCACAATTGGTACCGGAATTTCGGTTGCTAAGTAAGACAGTTGTTAAGTGATTTGTGCCTCGATTTTACGACCTTGTTGCCATGGTTATTAAGCAAATCACTGCAGTTATTAAGTGAATCATTTGGTTGTTTAGCTAATCCAGCTTCCCCCATTGACTTTGCTTGTCAGAAGCCAGCTGGGAAGGTCACAAAATGGCGACCACAAGACCTTGAGATGCTGCAACCGTCATAAATACATGCCAGTTGCCAAGCACCCAAATTTGACCATGGAAATATTTAGGAGTCCGTATGAGAACTAGTTGTAAATCACTTTTTTCAGGGCCATTGTAACGCAAACAATTGCTAAACCAATGGTTTTAAGTCGAGAACTACTTGTAACCCAACATGTTATGTTTTAATTTACAAGGACTCATGAGGACATCTTTGCTTTCCTCATAGGGGAATTATGGAGAAGACAAAATTAGGAGGGCTGCTAAACTGTGGGAAAATAGGAAGTGGGACTTATGATAGCACTGAATTGCTTTGTATTTGTGTGAGAAGGATGAAGAAATCTGGGATCTGGCTGTACAATTTACTGATTATGTTGAGCAGGATGACACAAGGAAAGAGTCCCCTCTGCACCATTACAGGGCCAGAATGTCCATGTCCTGAGACATATTAATGACTCATCCGCCTTGTACTAAATATTATAACTTGATGGTTTGGAGAGCCTTATTTGTTTGGTTTTGGAAATTACCAGGGCTTGGTCTGGTTTGTGTTTGGGGAATGTCAGGTCTGTAGAAAAATGTGGACTTTGGCAAACATCCTGGAGGAAGGAAACTGACAAATCTCTTCAGTATTATTGTCAAGAGAATGATATAGAAGTATCAACAAGAGTCAACCAACATCACTTCTGATTTGGTTCATTCCAAATAGAGCAAGAATCTGTATTCCAATCTGTATCCACTGAAGTTAAACTCTTCTGTCTTAAAAAAGAAATGCGTAGTAAAACCATATAATATGTTCTCCAGCTTTGTTACTGCAAAAACTATTCTTGTGTACTTCCTTAAGGATATAAACTAATGTCACACTTTGAACAAAGGAGGAACAATACATTGGCTTGCCAGGGTGGTCCTGAATTGTCTGCATGTATCTTCTCCCAAATTCCATGTGCACTCTGACCTTGCAGGTTTAGTTAATGCTAGGGTCAAGTTAGGCTCCCTGTTCCCCAACCCACTTTTTATCCCATCACAAGAGAGCTGGATTTCCTAAGCATATAAAGAAACTGCATCAAGCTAATAGCCCATTTAGTCCAGTCTTTAACGGCCCTCAAACAGATGCCTCTATCAAAGCTCATAAGCTTAGCAAGGAGAGCAAGCAGCCTTTTCCACTGTTCCTACAAAGCAGCTGATATGTCAAGAGTGCTGTTGAAAATTCTGGAGACACCAAGGAACCATCAAGACTACTGACTATTGATAAACTCTAATCTAACCCCCTTTTTATAGTGGTCTCAATCTTTAGCCATGACCATTTGATTGCAGCATGTTCAGTTTAACTGGAATCAACATACATTTTTTTGTTAAAAAGGAAGGAGTTCCTCAAGTCAAAACTGACTTCTAGCAACTCCAGGTACATTTTGTCAAAGAATTACATGAGCAATACAGAATTTGCTTCTTCTAGGTCTAGGATATTTTTCTGGCCCCACAATCCAATCTACAGCTGACATTTCCTGGCAAGGAAGGTCTTCCCAGTGAAGAGATAAGCAACATCTGATCCTGCTTAGATTATTGACAGCAGGAAAGGCCAACAAAAGATATTGCATCTGTTCTGACTACTAGTTTTTTTTAAAAAATACTTATTTTCATTAGTCTTGAATCTTTGAATTTAAAATTTAGTAGATGATCTTGCAAAACCCTGCATTTTCGTGTTCAATTGTCTTAATGAAGGTGTTACATAAGACAGTGTTTCTCAGCCTTGGCAATTTTTAAAATATGTGGCCTTCAATTCCCTGTTATTTCCCAGCCAGCATGATGTCCACATTATTTTAAATTCATCAAGGTTCAGAAACTGTCCTAAGATAAAAACTGAAATAAGTATTATCACTATCATCACCATTATATTATCAAATTGAGGGGAGGGGGGAATACATGGACTATTGACTCCTCATACCCCAGTCTCCTTATTTCCAGGGTTTTAACTTTTTAGCATAGAGGTAGGTCCTCAACTTACAACAGTTCGTTTAGTGACTGTTTGAAGTTACAACGGCAGTGAAAAAGTGACTTACGATCATTTTTCACACTAATGGCTACTGCAGCATCCCCATGGTCATGTGACTTACATTCGGGTGCTTGACAACTGACTCATATTTATGACGCTTGCAGTGTCCCAAGGTCATGTGACCTTCTTTTGCAACCTTCTAACAAGCAAAGTCAATGGAGAAGCCAGATTCACTTAACAATCGTGTGACTAACAACTGCAGTGGTTCACTCAACAAATGTGTTAAGGAAAGTCGTAAAATGTGGCAAAACTCAATCAATTTCTCACTTAGCAGCATAAATTTTGGGCTCAATTGTGGTTGTAAGTTGGGGACTACCTGTATTTCCTTAAAGCTTCATGTATAGCTCTACAAAAGCAACCCACACCAAAGAGGCTTGTAATTATTTTTTCTCCCCACATCTGGGTTCTGCCTCAACATCTTACTGTTAGCGCAATGTTTTTCCCCCATATCTGGACATCAGTCTTCAACAGCTGACTGTTAGAACAAAGTTTCTCAACCTCAGACACTTTTACGTTGTGTGGACTTGAAGTCCCAGAATTTCCCAGGCAATCCACAGAGTTTAAGAGGCTGAGATTGAGAAGCCCTGCTTTAGAGAGAAAAAAAGGGATTGAAGCCAAACTTTGTTTTTTTTTTTTTTTTCCCATTTCCTTTCCTCCCACACTGTTCCTTCTCTCAGTAAACACATGTTCAAATTTCTATGGCCATGCATATGTTACAAGGGAACCTTGCAGTAACATAAAGAGTAACAAATATATCATTGCACACTGGATTTCATAAAAGGCACTCTGGACACGATCAGAGAATGATAGAACCATAGGGCTGGAAGGTAAATTTTTGTCCCCTAAAGGTTTTTGGCTTAAAAGTTACTTTTGCTATCAAGGGTGTTTTTGGAGGGATACTTCTGCAAAATATGTAGTCTACTGAATCTTCCCTCTGGTTTCCCAATAACAAACCACTGGCTACAACTTTGACACAATTTACCAGTCAATTTACCAGCAAGCAAGGATGGGGTAAAGGAAGAATCAGCAACGTTTTAGAGTTATATAAACCTGATAGACAGCTCAGTACATTTCGCTTAATTTATTTAGACCCTCCCTATTGTATCCCCCCCCCAAAGTTATATTCTAAAGAAAAATGTACAGAATATAAGCACTAATTTTAAATAGTGGACTTACGTTCTGCAATCAATAGGCAGAATTCCACAGTAAACTACTGCAGTCCTACCACCTACTGGCTGTCTCATTGTTGACAGGCATAACACACAAATATCCAGCCGGCCAAATAATATTCATCAATGGCAAAAGGCAACTTTACCTGGAACAGTTTACCTCCTGCAACAATACCTTTAATACCATCAAATAGCAACATCTCCCTATCCCAGGTCCTTGAGAATCAACAGGTGGCTAAAAATGCCAAATCCGATCTATACATCTGGCTGACTGTGTAACAAACCATAATATATGGTACTTAATATGCCAATGCATTGACAAAAGTTCCATCTGTCAATCGTAGAAGGCCACACTGCTTAGGCCTGCACGTATACTGTAATACAGGTAGTCCTTGATTTACAACAGTTCATTTAATAACCGCTCAAAGTTACAACAGCACTGAAAAAGTGACTTATGACTGTTTTTCACACTTACTACCATTGTAGCAGCCTTGGTCACATGATCAAAATTTGGATGCTTGGCAACTGACTCACATTTATGATAGTTGCAGTGTCCTGGAGTCATGTGATCACCTTTTGCAAGCTTCTGACAAGCAAAGTCAATGGGGAAGCCAGATTCACTTTACAACGTTACTAACTTAACATCTGCAATGATTCACTTAACAACCGTGGCAAGAAAGTTTGTAAAATGGGGCAAAACAAACTTAACAAATGTTTTACTTAGCAACATAAATTTTGGGCTCAAATTGTGTTCGTAAGTCGAGGACTACCTGTCTACCGATACATTAGAACAGCCTAAGTTCTTGAGAAGGATTCAATGCATATGAAGGCCAACACCAGCTAAAGAACTGGCAGCTCGGACCTCACGTTGTGAACAGATGAAAATAATAATCAATTAAATTTATATGCTGCCCAACTTCCAGCCACTCTAGGCCACTTTACAAATTGGTAAAAAAATATTCAAAAACAAAAGAATGTGTATTCTTTTTCAAAATGAAAAAGAATAAAGATGGCCAAAGTGACAAAACTGGATGGAACAAAGGGAAGAGGAAGGGAAAGGGTTCTTCAATCACCAAAACCATGGCTCCAGGGCCCTTCAAACAGCATAGTCCATCTTTGATAGCAAAGAGCAAGAAAATTAATCTGGGTTTTTTTCAGTTGGTTTTGTTGATGGGCTGTTAATAATAATAACAACATAATATAATAAACAATAATAATAATAACAATAAGCAGGAAACCGACTTAAAGTGATTGAGAAACTTACCATCTAATTTTTTGAAGCCGTATCTTTTCCCAGTTCTGTTCCCTCCGCGATTTTTGGTGCTGCCTCCACTTTTTTTGGATGCAAATCTCACCACAGTTGCACTGAATGTGGGAACAGGCAAAACTGTTACAGGAAGGGGAAGAAAGCAAAAGGTTCCAATGATTAGTGTGATAATAAAAAGCATGTGCTGTGAGCCAGCAGTTGCCAGTCCAAATGCAAATCAATTCCACCATAAACCATATTCAAGACAACCTGAAATAACTACAGGTTAGTTTAGTAAGTAGCTTATCTAAAACAAAACAAAACATCAGAAGGGTTCAATCTTCCAGATTTCAGGTTGGGGAGACTGTTCCAGGAGGCTGGCACCACAACTAAAAAGCACCAAATGCCAGCAAAGCCTTTTTGAACTTTTCCGGGATAGCAACCCTCAGCATCCTATTTAGGACATGGATGCTTGGACAGGTAGATTTTATAGTAATTTGAAGCAAACAATCATGCAAGTAGCAAAAGTGCCAAACCACAGAGGAGCAACCAAACACTCAGAATTATTAATTTGTAAGTCAATCAATTATTCAGTCAAATTGTTCCTAAAGATGGCTCCATGACTCTGGGACACTGCAACCATTATAAATAAATATGAGCTAGTTGCCAAGCATCCAAATTCTGATCACGTGACCACGGGGATGCTGCAATGGTCATAAGTGTGAAAAATGGTCATAAGTCACTTTTTTCAGTGCTGTTGTAACTTTGAATGAAGGATTGTAAATCGAGGACTACCTGTACTGGTTGAAGCCAACGGTAAAAGGAAATGGCCTACAATTCTTAGGATTTTCTCCCAAAAAAAAAAGGGCCACATCTGGGTTTTGTCACTATCATTGTTCATCTGCTCCAAAATGGGACCTCTTAAGAATTTTTAGAAAGACAGACTAATCGAAATTCTGAAAGCTGATGAAGCTTACCCATAGCACCATTAAAACAAAGCAGCACCTTGTGACACCAGCGAAAGAAGATGACCGAATTCCCCAAGGAAGATACATTTAGTAGAATTTATGTACGTATGAGATTCTCAGTCATCATCCAGGTCATGGTTGTCCCAAAGGTGCTCCTTCAAGAAGCAACTGGACTTTGTTTTTCCTTGAAGACGTTTCACTTCTCATCCAAGGGAGCTGAAGAAGCTTCTTGGGTGAGAAGTGAAACGTCTTCAAAGAAAAACCAGAAAGTCCAGTTGCCTCTTGAAGAAGAAGAAAAAAAAAAAAACACCTTTAGGACTTAAAATTTATCTGCTACAATGTCCTACCTGTCAATGAGTACTTCAGCTTCAACCACAATAATACATGTGCACACAATAGATACCGCTCCAAACTCAATTGCAGAAAATACGACTTCAGCAACAGAGTGTTCAATGCCTGGAATGCACTACCTGACTCTGTGGTTTCATCCCCAAACCCCCAAAATTTTAACCCAAGACTGTCTACTGTTGACCTCACCCCATTCCTAACAGGTCTCTAAGGGGCGTGCATAAGAGCACCAACGTGCCTACCGTCCCTGTCCTAATGTTTCCTCTATTTGTATCTATTTTATGTATCCAATCCAATCATCTTTATACTTATTACCTAATACGTTCTTGGCAAATAAATAAATAAATAAAATAAAAAATAGTAGAATCCTTCACAGCATCGCCCAGCAGAGCGAGTTTTGTAGGGCTCTTTCCAGGCTCGCTCTCAAGCGCGGATGGGGACGGGGAATTGCACCAATTTCTGCAAAGGATCGGCGGCTTCTTTGATTGCAAACCTTGCGCAGGAACCCCTAAGGCCCATATTCCTCTGACCCATTTGCAGGCGAAAGGTGGATCGGCTGCGCCAAGCGTAAACCTTTCTCCCCCTTCTGAATTCTTGCTCGTAACTTCGCACACTGGAAGACCACATCCCAAATCATCCGAGCCCCGCCGTTGCCGCCGCCGCCTGCTGCCATTTCCCGAAAGCAAACCACCAACCCAATTAAGGCTTCTGCCCTCCCCCAACCTTTCCGACTCACGTTGCCTGCCGGCCGCGGAGCCTAAAGAAGCCAGCCCGCCCAGCAGCGCCGCCATTTGACCTTCCCTCGCCGCCCTGCGAAGCGTCCCGTCCTGCGCTGCGACACTTCCGTGTCCGGGAGCGGCGTCGGCAGTCGAGCGCGGGATTTGAACGGATGTTTGAATGAATGAGGCTTCGGAGGTGCAGCGGCTGGTTGCAAAGAGATCGCAAGCGATGGGGTGAGAGCCGAAACGTTTCGTGTGGTTTTCCAAACAGAGAAATCAGACGACGCGCCACCCGTTCACGTGGTGAAGGTTGGGGTCATATTGTTAAGCAGTTTGCGTAAACGGAAAAGACCCTTCCTTCCTTCCTTCCTACCTACCTACCTACCTACCTACCTATTTTCTTTCTATCTATCTATCTATCTATCTATCTATCTATCTATCTATCTATCTATCTATCTATCATCTATCTTCTATTTATCTCTATTTTCTTTCTATCTATCTCTATATCTATCTATCTATTTATCTATTTTCTTTCTTTCTCTATTTTCTTTCTATCTATGTATCTCTATCTATTTTTCTTTCTATCTCTATTTTCTATCTCTATATCTATCTATATTATCTATCTATTTCTTTCTTTCTCTATTTTCTTTTTCTCTATTTTCTTTCTATCTATCTCTATCTATCTATTTTCTTTCTATCTATCTATCTCTCACCTTCCACCAGTTAAGAGCATAAAGCCAGCAAGCTGAACTCCGAAGCTGGTTCAGACTTGCTTTTAATATATAGTACAGTAGTTCTTTTTCTTCATTTAAAGAAAAAGAATCTGGTGTTTATGTTACCATAAGATTTTAGACGATTCTTTCCGTAATGGTTTTAAGATTTTAAAAAGATTTCTTTAAAAAGTTCCAAGATTTGCTTGGAATATGGGGTATTTTATAAAAATTTATACAATTGGGCAGATACGTTATCATTGGACAATATTCAAAACTTTCTCTGATAACTTCTTTATTTTGTTATGTCTGCACATTTCCTTAATCTTTGCTCTCATCCCATCGGCTGAGTCAACATTCTAGCTGTTCTGGTTTTTTAAAAAGCGCTATTGCCAACAGCAAATTAGCAGTACTGAGCAGATACACTTTCCTGCACAGGGCTGTAGCTGGATATGACTCCCACTGCAATGCATTCTATCTGTCTACTCATAATTGAACCTTACTCAATTCAATGGAGTTTATTCACAATCCAGTGTTTTACAGGGTTGCAGCCATAAGTTTTACATTAAAAAAGACAGCAGGCATGTACTTTTACTATAGACCAGTGTTTCTCAACCTTAGCAACTTTAAGATAGGGGACTTAAATTCCCAGAATTCCCCAACCTTCCATCTTAAATCAAGCATTATAAGGGGAGGGGGGGACTATTCAAAGGGAGGCAAAGTCTTTTTTTAAAAAAAAAAGTCAAAACATTTAACAACCAGAAACAGGATGTGCAAAAGCTCATAAAAAAGATGGAAATTCTTCAAAGAGGCAGGAATTCCCACACTACTTCATTCCAAAACAAACTATCTTCCTTTATTTTAGTGTAGGATTGCTTTTAAATTATAAATAGGGAAGATAATACTAGTAAAGCAATACAAAATCAATCTTTCATCTAAGGTGTAGTTTCAGTGCAGTTGAATAATATTTGCTCTGGTTCTCCTATTTGAGTTGTTCCATATCCATCTTTATCACTTTTGCAGTAGAAGTGTCATTCTATGCTGTTTGGGAATAAAATAGATTATACAATTAAAGTTGCAGGAAACACAATTCATTTCATAATGGATATTCTCTTTCCCTAGGAGAAATACACATAATTGGTGACAGAATCCTGCTTGTTTCACATCAAAGAAATGGTAGTTTATGAACCTTTCTCTTGTAAGTGAATTTGGAGTATATCTTAATGCAAATAGCTAGAATATATGGAGATCAATATTGTGTATATAAAAATACGATTACTATATGTTGATTTTTGTCTAACTGGAATATAGGAAAAGAAAAGATAGATCCTGATGATATTTGAGATCTTCCATTCTGACTCATTAAAAACCGTCAGGCAGACAAATGACTGGGGGGAGAAGTGGGCAAAAGAACTGTTATGGTCCCTTATTGTAATGGTCACTTGTTTTTTGGAATTCCAAAAAAAATGGGATTTTGGAGTTCCCCTGAAAACTTGATTCTCTCACTTTGAAGTGGGATCTATAGACCTTCCTGTTCTGCCAATTATGTTGCTGACTTTAATTTTTTATTGTATAATCTCTGAGAACAGATTAGTAAATAATATGAATAAATGATAAAATATAGTCCTTTTGAAAGTGTAGAGGGAAGACGTCAGTGATGAGTTATTAAATCCTTGGCAAGACAATGGTGGGAAAGGCCCACTCCACAGACTTATGACGTTGCTTCTGTTGCAGATGTTTTTTGAAGGTTCCAGGGTTGACCATAAGGAATAATGGTGTTCCTCCCTTTCCCACATGAACTGTGTAGGAACCAGGACTGGATAACTAATTGCTCAGTTCCTGGAGGCATAACATCTTTTCACTTGGGTAGTCAGACTACCTGCTGTAACAGGGGAGCCCACAAAAAGCATTGGATTAATATGTTGGAAAGTGTCTTCTTCCTGTTCCTTAGATCAGACCTCTTCAATAGCATCCTCCAAATGTGTTTTTCCACAGCATCCAGAATTCTCAAGCCACATGATCAGTTATTTTCTGAAACGAACCATCTTCAGGTCCCAAAATTCTTAAAACATGGACGTTGTTTATGATAGTTGGAAATTTTGGGGACTATATCATAAACACACATGGAGAAGAATCACTTGGGGAAAACCGTACTGAACATTGTGGCTTTGACATTGCATTAGCTAAGCCCAATGTGGAAACTTACATTCCTTATCCTGACTTCAGAAGTGTAAGCAGAGTGGGTTTGTTCCTCATGCAGGAGTACACCGGGCAGGAGAATAGAAGGAACAAATAAATGCTGAGGTCTGGTGACTTGGTTTTGATTGACCTCTTCCACAATTGGCTTCGACACTTTTCTAGCATTAGACCCTGATCAATTATCCTTGAGGGAATGTGACTTTTGAAGAGGGAGAACTTCCTGTTGTTGAATTCAACTGTTCGCTTCTTTTCCTCAGATGCCACTCCAACCCAGCGCAGTCTCTTCAGTGCATGAAGCTAAACGTCATGTTCTCAGAACTGGATGAGAGTGACTGTGAGGAGCTACCAGTTTTCTTTTCTGAAAACAAACCTCCACCTAACCCACAAAACAGCATTCGACCTTCTCCTGAGAACCAAGTAGTTGTGCTCTTCAGCTCAGACTCGGAGGATTCATTCCTTTGCTCACCTGCCAGGAAAAAGCCCTATGGTCCGTGCAATTCAGTCAAGATGGCTTCTTCTACAGACGTGAGACTGCAGCTCAGTAGCGAGAGTGAGGAGGAGGAAATGCTTGTCCCCTTGGCCGAAAGGCTTCAAAGGAAGTTGCTGGTAGCTGGACCCTCTATAACTGCTCCTTCATTTACTAGGATCCAAACAAAGAGTGGCCAAGAGTCCACTGGGCAAAATAAGCCCTGTGTCAGTGATGAAGAATTGGTGCCCGCTTGCTGGCAGGAGCCACTACCTGCTGGCTCAGATCTCCGAGAAAACGTGGCACCCAGCACTTGGGAACTTTCAGACGGTGATCAGGAGCTATCTTCATGGGATGCTAAGCCACAATCCTTGCCCCAGCTTCCAGTTTGCATCCCTGATAATAAGATGCAGGATGGTACCCGCCAAATATGCCTGAAGTCCTTTCCTCTTCAGACAAGTACGAGACAGAACCATCAGGGTTTGGACAAAGCTTGCCAGGCTGCCCTGCAGAAGAGCAAAGAGCAAGGATCACAGAAACAGCTGCAGGAGCAAGAAAAACAGAGGAAAGCAGCTTTGGCCCAACTTCTCAAAGCTCAAAGACCAGAGCAGTGTCTGAAACACATTCAAATAGTATTAGACCCAGGTGTGTGTTTTTTTCCCCCTCTTGGCTTTCTTATCTGTTCTTCTCCTTCTTAGGGCTCCATCTTGAATCTCAGCCTCCAATAGGTCTCTTACAGATTAATGGTGCGGATGAGATCCTTGCTGCTTTGCAGTCAATGGAGAGTAGCTATGTGATTGAGAGCCTAACTGTGCCCTGCAGCATCACCTGGAGAAGGAAAACAGGCCTAACACAGGTATGACAGTATGTGTCTTCCCCCGCAGTCTTATGATTGGTGGTTTTGATTAAAGTAATTGATTTTCCTTGATTAATCTTTTCTTCTGAAGGAATCCTGGCCGTGACCTAATTGTTGTTTCTTTTTACTAACAGTAACTGTCCTTATATTTTTGTCCTTCCTATTTTAAATTTATGCTTTGGCTTGAAGGCTGAAGAAGACAACTGGATAGAAGAACTCAATGTCCTAGTGCCAGTGCTGCTCCCAGACTTCATTGCAATGATTCATAACGGCAAGCAGGTAAGATCGGTCTAGCAATGTCCAATGAAAAGCACAAAACAAAACAAAAAAAAATCCCTTGTTCTAAAATACAACACACAACATGTGTGTTTAAAATAATTATTCAGATTTCACACGGTGAAATAAAGAGTAGGGAGACTCGGAGACGGTGAATGTTCTCATTCATTATAAAAAGTTGATGACTGCAAAACGGACCAGTCCTCCTTATGGGTGTATCAATTGCAATGCTTTTACTTGACAAATTCAGGGAGCAGCATGGAGAAAATCAGTTTTCACTAGAATGGAAAGGATTTAAAACAAAAAGAATCTGGGCTTGCAACATTTAGCTTTACAGTGACCTATTGTAAGTTTTTATCAGTACATTCCATTGCAACCCTTGAATTTCAAGATGCAAATGTTTTTTTTTTCTAACTAAAACCATTATTCCCTGTAGGAAGTAATCTGAGGAAGGGCAGGAAGTAATCCAAAATTTGTTTATAGACAGCAGAAGGGCAGGAAGTAATCTTGAGATTGATTATGTTATTATTTATGGACATGTATGCATGCAGCATTTTTTTTTTTTTTTTTAATACTTTATTGAGTTTTCCAAAACAAAAAAGAAAATATACAATCTATCTCTCCTTTCGGAGG